ATACCTGAGTTAGAGATGTACAGGTTAAGTAGTCTTATGAGTCTTTGCCTTAAGTCATGATAGGTTGAAGAGCTTCCCATCCAAGCTTGTGTGAAGGTGCACTCCACCTTCCATGTCTTTAAAAGCGCAGTTTAGGAGTACCGAGGAGAAGATTGCAAAGAGTGCAGGGGCAAGAACGCATCCTTGCTTCACTCTGCTTTTCATCTTGAAGCTGTTGGAAGTGGGCCCATCAAACTGAACAGTTGCTTTCATGTTGTTGTGGAAGGAATGTATAAGACTTAGCAGGATTGGTGGCATCCTATCTTTTCTAGGATTGCAAATAGACCTTCTCTGCTGATGGCATTAAATGCTTTGGTTAGATCCATGAAGGCGATGTACAGTGGTTGTATTTGCTCTGTGCACTTTTCTTGAAATTGCCACAGGGAAAATATCATGTCTATGGTTCATCTTCCAGCCCTGAATCTCAGTGCAGATTCAGGGTAGACACGACTTGCCAGCTTTTGTAGGTGCACCAAGATAACCCTTGCAAAAGCTTTTCCTTCTGTACTTAGTAGTGAGATACCTCTGTAGTTGCTGCAGTCACCCTTATCTCTTTTATTTTTATACAGTGACAGTGTTTGTGTCATGCATATCTTGTGGTACCTCACCCTCTTTCCAGCCTTTGAGTAGCAGCTGATGAAGATATGGTAGTAGGCTTTCTTTCCTGAAGTTGAGAATTTCCGCTGGGATGACATCTTTTCCAATAGCCTTTCATATATTCATAGATGTTTGGGTCAGAAGGGACCCGAGTAGATCAAAGTCGGCCCACTGCCCCAGGCAGGAAAGAGCACTGGGGTCAGACGACCCCAGCCAGGTGCATGTCTAGCCTCCTCTTAAAGATCCCCAAGGTAGGGGAGAGCACCACCTCCCTTGGAAGTCCATTCCAGATTCTGGTCCCCCTTACCATAAAGAAGTTCTTCCTGATATCTAACCTGAATCTGCTCTCTGTCAGTTTGTGGCCATTGTTCCTAGTTACTCCAAGGGGTGCCCTGGTAAACAGAGCATCTCCTATTACTTGCTGTCCCCCTGATGAATTTGTAGGTAGCCACAAGAACCATTCTCAACCTTCTCTTGCAGAGGCTGAAGAGATCCAGGTCCCTCAGTCTTTCCTTGTAGGGCTTTACCTGCAGGCCCCTAACCACATGACTGGCCTTCTGAACCCTCTCGAGGTTTTCCACATCCCTCTTGAAGTGCGGTGCCCAAAACTGGACGCAGTACTCCAACTGCAGCCTGACCAATGCCATATAGAGGGGGAAGTATCACCTCCCTGGACCTGTTTGTCATGCACCTGCAAATTAATAATAAAATGTGGCTAGCTTTAGTGATCATTTTGTCACATTGATGACTCATGTTCATCTTGATGTCAACAATGATGAGATTCCTTTCTGCTGCTGAGAAGGTCCTCCCCCAGCCTGGTGATTCCTTCCCCCTAGGTGCAGCACTTTGCACTTATCTTTGCAGTTATCTTTGTTGAACTGCATTTTATTCTGTTCTGCCCACTTTTCCAACCTGTCCAGATCCACCTGGATACATTCCCTACTCTCTGGTGTGTTAACTTTACCCCATAAGTTGGTATCATCTGCGAATTTGGACAGAGTACTTTTCACGCCCTCATCCAAGTCACTGATGAAGATATTGAATGGCACAGGTCCAAGGACCGAGCCTTGTGGGACTTCACTGCCCACATCTTTCCAGGTCAATACTGACCTGTCCACCACCACTCTCTGGGTGCGAGCCCTTTGCCAATTTGCCACCCACCTGACTGTAATCATCTACGTCAGAGCTGCTCAGTTTATTTATGAGAATAGGATGAGATACTGTATTGAAGGTCTTCTTAAAATCCAAGTAAATGACATCTACCTCAACTCCTGCATCTAAGCATTTGTGACCTGGTTATAAAAAGAAACAAGATTAGTCAGGCAGGATCTATCTGCTATGTATCTGTGCTGATTGTCCTTTAGCATGGTTTTTCCCGCTGGTATCCCACAAATGTGATCCTTAATTTTTTCAAAGGTTTTCCCAAGCATAGAGGTGAGACTAACCATTGTATAGTTACCCAGAATCTTCTTCCTCCTCTTGAAAATAGGGACCACATTGGCCCTTTTCCAGCCCTCTGGGACCTGACTGAGCACTTGTGGTGCTCAGAACAGCTGTGCCAATGGCTCTGCTATGACACTGGTGAATTCCTTCAGCACCCTTGGATGAATATCATCCGGGCCTGCTGACTTAAACATATCCAGTCCTTCCAAATGCCTCTTCACAAAGTCGGCACTAATAGTTGGTGGGTTGGTGTCCCTTTTGTGCTTGTCTATGATCCAATTGGGATATATGTCCTGATCCGTGTTCAGGAATACAGAAGCAAAAAACTCACTGAAGAGTTCAGCCTTGCCCCCCCATCTGTCACTAATTGCCCTGGTTTGTCCTGTAGGGGTCCTATGCTACCGTGTGCCTTCTTTTTACTCCCTATATACCTGAAGAAGGGCCTTTTGTGGTCTTTCATTTTTGTTGCCAGCCTAAGTTCCATTTCTGCTTTGGCCTTTCTAACTGCCTCCCTGCAACTGCAGACCAAGTAGGTATATTCTGCCTTGCCACTTGATAATGAATCAGTTAGCTTGATCAACTCTTCTACAATGGGCTCCATATCTAACTGTGGCATGACCCGTAGAGTTGGTATTTGGTCCAGTGATTCGCTGGTAATGTTTCTTTCTTAATTGTGAGTACAGCTCTGAGTAGTGTTCCAACCCAACAAGGCATCTACTTGCTTCTATCTGTAATTGCTTCACCGCTGCACAACTTGAGAGGGGCAACCTTGTTGACAGTAGGGCCTAGAGCTTCCTTCAGATCATTGTACGCTGTCACAGATCATGCAAATCTCAGATGGGACTATTCAGTCACATGAAACGCTTCAAATCATCTATGCCATAGGCTGCAATATCCACTGTCTCTTGCAGACAAAAGGATGCCAATCAGAAGGATGAGCACCTGAACACAGACTGTTTCGTCACAAATTGTGATGGAACCTAGTATGGGCATGGTCAGCGATTGCCAGTGAAGACATAGTTATAGCGTAGCAATAAACGGAACACAGGCTCTGCCTTTCGTAAGTCAAATGTGGATTCTTTACAGGCTCAGATGATAAATTGTCCAGTCTAATCTCTACTCACCAGTTTTGGGTTCTTGTTGCATAGTTATTTCTAAAGTATAACTGCAGGACCTATTATTGCAAATGACATCTACAAGAGGGGTTGTATCTACACGTGCAATTTAACTATGATCACATTTGCCATCTTTCAGTTACTCCAATGGTAACGACATATTAAAAATTAGAGATGGATATGAGTGACATTGCCCAACCAGAAAGCCACAGAACTCTGAGGAATCCTAATTTCAGATCCAAACTTTGCAGCTTCCCTGATATTAAATACATTTCTGTTTTTATATATCCAAATCAAGTTGCCCCCTGCCTTTTGGGACCTTTCAGCTTCCCTAGACAGCATTTAATATACAGACTTTGTTTTTCCCTCTGTTTTTTGCTGCTAGATCCTGGGTACTGTTTTTCCCCCAAAATAACTCATTTTTATTTAAAAAAATAAGATTGAGACTTTGGAAGCCCTCCAGTTATTTAGCCTGGATAGACTTGTTAACAATTTGTTTGTTAGTTAAATGCAACACAAAACTACAGGGACCACATTTCTAACGTGTGTAGGCTATCATTAATTGCTTAGTAGTTTTATTTATCATTTAAACCAAATACTTGGTGAACCTGAAACTAGACTCTGTATTACTAAATTATTTTTGTGTATGGATATAAAAGATACTAACTTAAGAAAAGCAATTTAACCATGATAACTCTTTATTGAACCTGACTCCTTCCAATTTTCCTTACTGCTGAGCTGGTATTTACTTTGAAATATATTTTTCTGTGCTGATACTCCCTGTGCATACATGACTGGATGATATCTAAACATACCAATCTGAATGTTACTTAGACAATTTGAAGCAAACGTTCAGTGCAAAGTACTGGAATTATCTTTTTAGCTAGCAATATCTTAGGGTGCAGATTTTACATCTTTAAAATCGAATTGGCAGAAATAGGTTTTTATAGTGACCTTGGTTATTTATGTCTTTACACAACCTTCCCACCTGTATATACAGAATTTGTTGCTAGCAATATTTCTAGTTCAGGACTTGAACTGTTTATTTGTTTCTTTTGATGCTGTTTGCTGAAAACACAATAAATATTTGGACAAATTCAATTTCAAAGCTCTGACACTTTTTCCACGTGCTTGAAAAGCTGTGAATTATGTTTTAGAAATGTATTTTAGCTGCCTGGTGATATTGCACAAGCAACAAAAACATAAATATATCTGTTTATATGTCCGAAGTGCATTATAAAAAGCCATGAATCCACTTTGATACATAAAAGGAATTAGATTTTCTCCTGTACCTCTGTGCTGGGATTAATAAAATTCACAGCAAATAGCTGATGGAATGATCCATTTGAAGTTTACACTAGTATCTTGGGGAGCTGGTCAGAGCTGGTTATGAGTGGGAGGGGGAGCTAATCAAGTGCTGGTGCATGTGGAGTTGTGTGTGTATTTTGGGAAGATGGTCAGAGAGAGAGAGAGTGTATGTGTAGGGGGTGTACACATGCTAGTTATTTTCTGATTCAGTTTTGTTCCTGAATGAGCATTTTAGAATGAGCCATGCTGTAACCTACACACATTTTTTTGCAGAGCAAGTGAGGCAGGATCAAATCCATCTTCGAATCCAAGTTTCCCTTATTTCCATCCCTGCACACCTCCAAATTATAGTGAATTCATTCCTGAGCTGGAGAGGTGCCAGAAGTTTCTCAGCTAGCTGTCTGTGGGCTGCTCCTTTTTTCTTTGAGGTTTTCTGATGCTTATAGAGTGAGCTCAACTCAAAGGTTTTCAGCCTCACTCTCGCCTGATATTCTGTAAGAGTCAGATCGGGCTCTGTAACACTAAGGAATACTGTATCGGCATCAGATTTGGTCTGATTTCCCTGCAGGTGATTCAGAAACTTCACAATGCGTCTGGTAACGTATTTCATTTTCTAAAGAAACCACTTTATTTTTTTATTTATTTTGGTGAGGCTGTGTGGATTTTGGAATTGTCTAGGTTGGTTTTTTGGGATTTTTTTTTTTTTTTTTTAACTAATTGAATGTGAAGATGTCAGGGGGCTGCCTTCTAGGACCCCAGTACTGTTTGTTTTAGTTGTCAGTCAAAGATATATAGGCAAATTTCCTAAAGGGAATCTTAATTCAAGCAGCACTTTGTCTTTAGATAAGCAGGCTTGTACAAATGCAGATTAACAGATGCAATGTATAATATGTAGAAGCATTAGTAAGTTTATTAGGTAAACTGAAATTTAAAACTATATTTTTTATGTTACCATTTGTGGGCACAGGAATGAGATAATTGTCTTACTGTAATAAAGATTGACAACAGGGTTTGAAAAATAATTCCTAAAGATTCACAAGCTTCTACCAGAAGAGTCGTCCTTCTGCTGTTTCAGAATGTCTCTCTAGGTTTTTAAACTGCCTTCTTATTTTTACTCTGCAATTACTGTGGAAAAAATGTGGTTATGGTTCATAGTAACCCTACAGGGGCTTTTAAGCTTCAGTATTCAGCAAGCATTTTAGCTATTTTAAATAGTAGACCTTGAATAATAAGTAGATCAATGTAAATCTTTTGTGGCCAGGACTTCAGCTGCTTGCCAACATGTAAAAAATCATATATGTATATGAGATGTATATATATGTGTGTGTATATATATCGTATATATATGTGTGTGTGTGTGTGTGTGTATAAATACAATAAAAATAGCTATCTCTAATAGATTTCATTGGAGCCTAACAGAATATGCTTTCAGTATGAATCTGTGATTATGGCTTTAGTAAAAATAAACAAATAAATAAATAAATAATGTAGTGATTAACTCCATAATGATTTTTTGGCATTCTCAGGGGAATAGTTCAGTAGTTCTAGTGATTTTAGTTCTAAGGTTCTTAGCTTTCAAGTTCAAGGTTGCTATTATCAGAACTAATTTTATTTTCTTCCCTGTTTAAAAATACATTAAAAAAGGAGAGGCATACTCAAACCTTGCTAACAACTGTTATAAACTATAACTTTTCCACTGCACATTATTTTGATACACTTTTAGAAATAGCCCACACGGCTTTTTTTCCTTCTCAGTTCTCATCTTCTTAAAATAGACCAGGTAATATATTTGTCTAAATCCTAAAAAAAATAATTAAAAAAACTACTCATCTCAAATGAGGTATTTTGAAGGTATTTTGAAATAAAGTGTCTAGGCAATATAAGCTAATATATACAACAAAGTATTACTGACTATGATAGGTATAGATAACCGTTTGAGAATAAATTGGCATTAACCCTAACTGTAAATGATATTTCAATTGAGGATTCTCACTAGACAGGTTAAAATGGTACATAAACTATGCAGGCATATTCAGTTCTTACTTGACTGTTTTTTCACTTTGGGCCCTTTTAATTCAGTGGGAGAAAGATCAAGCTTCACATATTAATATTGACATATCTGCCATGGTATAGAGGATATGGGGCTTAGCATGGGTAAATTGGAGAAAGTGAATATTGCATGACAAACATTAATCTGAGCTTCTGCATTAGTTAGGACAATTTATTATACAACTATAAACCAACATGCTAAATTTCACAAGAAAAGATCTATATTAGAATTCGAAGATATTAGAGCTGACTAATTTACGTAGAGCTGAACATACTTTGACTCTTTTTGACTCCTTTCATAGCTTGCTTGAAGTTAAGATGCCTTTTCTTGCTGAAGGTAAAGTATTAATGGGACTTTCTTAAAAAAACCTAAATGCATACAAGTATAGGACTGAGGCTTGGCCTTGTTTTTCAAATCCTGTGGGGGGGTGTTACACCCTTTAAGTCTCAATCCTGCAAAGTTACTCCAGAAGTGTATGCACTCAAACTAATCTAAATTAAGTCAATGGAACTATTTTACATGCCCAGTGCTAATAGGCTTGAGTCATACATTTTTCTATGTTAAAAGTTTCTTTAGCCTAGAAGTCCAAAAATAAGATCAAATTAAGGAGGCTCTACAATTACAACAATTTTCCTTAATTCCAAGAAATATGCATTAATTAACTTTTAGTGCCTGTAGTCTTCCTGTAGCTGAGTTCATCTTATTTAAAAATATGAATAATAAACTGCTGTGCAGAAAACTAATGTTTCACAATAGAAAATGGATACTCTGGCTGATGATTCATAATTTTATATGAATTACTTTATCCTATGTCTTCTACATGTATCTGGGCAGGAAATAACTTGGAGGGTCTGATCAATTTATCTTGGCCTCCAGAAGCTAATACAGGCCTGTGGCTGTTGGGGAGCCAATATACTGTTGATCTGCAGCACATCTGCTACATCTTACACACTGAATCTGCTTTTGCTCTCAGTTGTGTCATCAGGGGTGTTTTTATTGGCTTCAGTATATGTGAACCATTAGGAGTGAATTCTGCAGTGTTAAGAATCTGACAATATTTGCAATACTAATAGAAAACAGTTCATATAATTTGCTATGTGGAGGTAATGACCCAAACTCATTGTAATGTTTCTTACTAAATGTTTGATTCTTATATCAAGATACAGTTTTACAAGGTTTTTTGCATAATTTTTTCTGACATTTTCAACCCCAGTTTTAATAGAATTCTAATGTATACACTACAAGTAAATGAACATTAAAGTATATAGTAATTTGATTACGAATACTGTCCTATGCAATATCTGTGGAAAAGTAAATATGGTTTGAGCGATCTGGCATTAGTCAAATTGTATTAGATTCCTGAAATGCAACTGCTGTCATTTCATGGTCCCCACCTCCCCACCCAGACTCATAACAAACTTATTCTGCACAAAGCTTATATTAAAAGCATGCCATTTAATGTTAACTATCCCAGGCAATCATTGAATCAATGCATTCAACAACATCCAAATACACTTAAGACATTTAGACCCTAGCTCTGAGATGTGTGAAATGACTTCAATTCCATTGACTTCAGTGGGATATGGAAACACTTGTATTTTACAGAATCAGGTTCTTAAGCTGGAAGACTTAGCAAAAAGTGTTGTGGGAAGGAAAGGCATTCGATAGATTATGGTAGTGACATTATGTTCTTAAATATAATTTATCAGCAAGAGGAAGTAAAAGGAATTTAGAGGATTTAGAGGTGTCTGAGCATCAGTAAGGACAGAGAGAATAAAATGGACCCAGGAAACGGTTAGGGATAGAAACATGGACCAGCATAAAACAGTAGGCTGATCTGGTGAGGGCAAAAATCTAAATAACTGTAGTAGGAAGGAAATTGGAATGAAGCACTACTGTGAGAGACCTAGATTATTATAGGAGGAAATAAATTAGTTAAGTGCTTGCTGGCATTATGGCTGGGTAGGCAGTAACTGCAGTTTTGTGCTGCATCACACAAACAGGGGATAAACTCTCTAGATCAGGGGTGTTCAACCTCTGGCCCCCAGGCCAAATGGACAGAGCTATCACATCTGGCCCATGGGGCTCCCTATAGGTCAGGAAAATTGGTAGCAGGGGAGTGGTGGCCATTAATACAGCCACCCTCCCTCTTGCCAGATACCCAAGCCCCAAGCTATACATGGCCAGGCTGCACATCATTCCCCCATGTGGGTCAGGCCACACCTTCTCCCTCTGCAGCTGTATTGGGGCTGGGTCACACCCCTTTCCCCTCCCCATAGGGTTTGGTTGAGGTTGGGTCATGCCCATTCACCATGAGACCCTGGATTGGGGATGGACCTCCCCTTTCCTTCTCTTCCTCCTCCTTCAGGATTGGAACATGCCCCCTTTTCTCCCACAGAGCCAGGTTGGCATTTGGCCATACCCCCTTCCTCCCATGGGATGGAGCCACACCCCTTTCCCCCTCCTGCAGGGCTGGGTCAAGTCATCTTCCCCTGACGGGCCTGGTTGGCCCCT